GTAATCCCAGCTACTTGGGAGGCTGAGACAGGAGAATCACTTGAACCTGAGGGGGTGGAGGTTGTAGTTAGCTGAGATCATGCCACTGCATTCCAGCCTGGGCAACAGAGTGAGACTCCATCTCAAAAAAAGAAAAAGAAAAGATTTTAATTGACTCACAGTTCCACATGGCTGAGGAGGGATCAGGAAACTTACAAACATGGCAGAAGGCACCCCTTCACAGGGCAGTAGGAGACAAAATGAATGCCAGCAGGGGAAATGCCAGACCTTTATAAAACCATCAGATCTCATGAGAACTCACGATCACAAGAACAGCATGGGGGAAACCGCTCCCATGATTCTTCCTCTTACTGGGTCCCTCCCACAATATATAAAGATTATGGGGATTATAATTCAAGATGAAATCTGGGCAGGGACACAGCCAAACCATATGACAGGGACTTGATTGGTATCTGAGGGGTCCTGGAACAAATCCCCCACAGATACAGAGGGAAGATGATTAGGAAGAAAAGTGGAGGGGACTGCAGAGGGTGACAGAGGTTGAAGTGTCTGACAAAGTTTCTTAATTGATCAGGAGTGGCTTTCTGCCATATTTCTTTTGTTTATGTTTAATATAACTATATTCAAGGACATAGTTTTGGATGTCAGCAGTACAAGCAGTGAAGATAGTGATGAAGAGAATGAAGAACTGAATAAATTGCAGGCATTACAGAAAAAAGGATAAATGAAGGAGATGAAAAGAAAAAAATCAAGTTAAAAAAAAGAAAAAGGTCTTACTCATCCAGTTCCACAGAGCACACTTCAAAACAAAAGAAACAAAAATATTAGAAGAAATGAAAAAAGAGTAAATCAAAAAAAGGGAAACATCACAAAAAGGAAAAAAAGAAGAGAAAATAGGAAAAGCATTCTTCTACCCCAATAATTCTGAATTTTCCAGAAAGTAACTGAGATTTTGGCTTAAGCCATTAAATTAAAAAATTGTTTGTTAAAACATGTTTGCCCTTCCTTAGAATTTGCTATATATTATACTTTGCAATAAATCACAGCCTTTTCCATATTTAAAAAAAGAGAAGAAAGGAAGGAGGGAAGGAGGGAGGGAAGGAGAGAGGGAGGGAGGGAGGGAGGGAAAAAAAAGGGAGGGAGAGAGAGAAGGGAGGAAGAAGAAGGAAGAAAAAGCTAAAACAAGTTTAGCCTAAAGCTGTCTCCTTACTATTTAAGTTTGGCCTAAAGGTTTTTCTGTATATCATTAACTATAACAAGAAGAGATGTAAACAGACTGTAGCCTACACTTGTGCCAATCACCAAGTTTTGGCTAATCAAATGTAGCAAACTGTTTCAACTGTGTTCAAAGAAGGCAAACACTGAGCTGTAACCAATTCAGCTGTTCTGCACCTCACTTCCATTTTCTTTATGTCACCTTCCTTTTTCTTGTTCACAAATCTTCTACCATGTGACTGTGTCTATGAGCCTATTTTGGCTCAGAAGGCTTCCTGATTTGCAAATTGTTCATTGCTCAGTTAAATTCCTTTAAATTTAATTTTGTTGAAGTTTTTTTTTGGTGTTTTTTTTTTGTTATGGAGTCTTGCTTTGTTGTCCAGGCTGGAGTGCAGTGGCATGAGCTCGGCTCACCGCAACCTCTACCTCCCAGGTTCAAGCGATTCTCCTGCCTCAGCCTCCTGAGTAGCTGGGATTACAGGCATATGTCACCACATCCAGGTAATTTGTGTATTTTTAGTAGAGATGGGGTTTCACCATGTTGGCCAGGCTGGTCTCAAACTCCTGACCTCAGGTGATCCACTTGCCTCGGCCTCCCAAAGTGCTGGAATCACAGGTGTGAGCCACTGCACTGGGCTGAATTCGACTGAAGTTTTTCCTTCATCAGAAGGAAGGAAAGAAGGAAGGAAAGAAAATTAGAAAAGCAAATAGAATCATGTCTTACTAAACACAGTGGTACCACTCTTAAGCCTCTCCATTTTTTAAATGTTCAATGCCTCCTTTGCTTGTTAAAAAGAAACATACGTAACTTCGCTTCTTGATTTATAAGATTGTAATGCTTCCTGCTAACCTGGCGTCCTCCCCATTTGGCCTCAAAATTTCTCCAAACCTTTCCAGCAGCAGCACCAGTTTTGTCTGACAACTGGCAAAAAGGAAACACATAAAAAGTGAATACTCAGGCAATTTTCAAACAATAAGAACTGTTTAGAGGCCGTTTGCCTCCAAGAAGACTGAGGAGCTGAGAGAATGATCTCGAAATGTCTTCAGTATATTGCTGTCTTGATAAACATGAGATGAAGAAGAGTTGCTGCATTTCGAAGTAAAGATCAGAAAAGCCAGGGAGAGGAAACGATTCTGGAGTTAGGATCCACTAGTCTGAGATCCTTAGAGGTTCTTCAAGGGCTGGAAGAACTAGGATGATAAAGGCAAGGAGTTGTGATTAAATGGATGACGGACGCTTGAACTTTACCTGCAACGTTTAGTCTTCATTTGAAAGTGAGAGTGGTTTTAGAGCCTTAAGGAGAAGGGGTGAAGGGCTACACGTGACTGGGGACTCATGCATGGAACAGAGAAGTAGTGGATTTCAAAGTGGTGGAGCATATCGTAATCACCTACGGTATGTTTTTCAAACTGTCAGTTTTCTTTCATCTCTGTTCTCTATTGATGAAAAAGAGAACACCCCACTGCCCATGTTCTCTTTTTTAGTTTTAGTTAAACAGTTTTGTTTTCCTCAGAAAACTAAAAATAGAACTACCATATCCGCCTCCTACCACTGTGCAATGGAACCTCTGTTACTCACAGGAGAGTATCTGTCTCCCAGGTGGGTTAAGGTTAGGAGTGTATCCAAGCTTTGTGGGTCCTGAAACTGATAGAATTTTTGGGACCTTCTTTAAGAAAATAAATACAATCTCTATTAAAAAAATTATAAAACATTGATGTGAGAAATTAAAGAGGACACACAGAAATGAAGATATTTCAGGTTAATGGATCAGAAGAATCAATGTTATTAAAATGTTCATACTACCCAAAGCAATCTAGACATTACAATCCTTATCCAAATACAAATGACATTCTTCACAGAAAGAGAAAAAAATAATCCTGAACTTGATATGGAACCACAAAAGATCCAGAATGGCCAAAGCTATCTTGAACAAAAAGAACAAAACTGGAAGAATCACATGGTCTGACTTCAAATTATACTACAGAACTATAGTAACCAAAATAGCATGGTACTAGCATCAAAACAGACACATACACCAATGGAACAGAATAGAGAACATAGAAACAAATTTACACATCTACAGTGAATTCATTTCAACAAGGTTCCAAGAACGTACATTAGGGAAAGGACAGTCTCTTCAATCAGTGGTGCTGAGAAAACTGGGTATCTGTATGCTGAAAAATGAAGCTAGCCCCCTACCTGTCACCATATGCAAAATCAAATCAAAATGGATTAAATAATTAAATCTAAGACCTTAAGCTATGAAACTATTCAAAGAAACATTGGGCAAACTCTCTGAGACATTGGACTGAGTCAAGATTTCTTGAGTAATACCCCACAGCACAGACAAACAAAGCAAAACTGGACAGATGGGATTATATCAAGTTTAAAAACTTCTGCACAGCAAAGATAACAATCAACAAAGTGAAGAGACAACCCACAGAATGGGAGAAAATATTTGCAAACTATCCATCTGACAAGGGATTAATAACCAGAATATGTAAGAAACTCAACTCTATAGGGAAAAATCAAATAATCAGATTTAAAAATGGGAAAAACATTGGAATAGACATTTCTCAAAAGAAGATATACAAATGCCAAACAGGTGTATGAAAAGGTGCTCAACATCACTGATCATCAGGGAAATGCAAATCAAAACTGCAGTGAGATATCATCTCACCCAGTTAGAAGGACTTTCATGCCAAAAGTACACAATGATGAATGCTGGTGAAGATGTGGAGAAAAAGAAAAGCTTGGACACTGTTGGTGCAAATGTAACCACTATGGAGAACAGTCTGGAGCAGTTTAGTTTTTTTAGTTAAACAGTTTCGTTTTCCTCAGAAAACTAAAAATAGAACTACCATATGATTCAGCAATGCCATTGCTAGGTATATACTCAAAAGAAAGGAAATCAGTATAGAAGGGATATCTACACCCCCAATTTTATTGAAGCACTATTCACAATAGCCAGATTTGGAAGCAATCTAAGGATCGGCCAGCAGATGACTAGATAAAGCAAATGTGGTATATATGTACAATGGAGTATATTCAACCATAAAGAATGAGAGCCTGTCATTTGCAACAACATGTATGGAACTGGAAGTCCTTATGTTAAGTGAAATAAGCCAGGCCCAGAAAGACAAATTTTGCATGGTCTCACTTATTCATAGGAGCTAAAAAAAAAAAAAATTAAAACAATTGAACTCATGGAGATAGAGAGTAGAGTGGGGTAGGGAGAGTCAGAATGGTTAGTGGGCACAAAAATATAGTTAAATAGAAAGAATAAGAGCTAGTATTTAATAGCTCAACAGGGTGACTGCAGTCAACAATAACTTACTGTGTATTTTAAAATAACTAAAAGACCATAATTGTTTGTAACACAAAGAAAGTATAAATGCTTCGGGTGTTGGATATCCCATTTACCCTGATGTTATTATTATGCATTGTATGACTATATCAAAATATCTTATGTACCTTGTAAATATATATACCTACATACTTAATGACTTCCAGTTCCATCCATGTTGTTGCAAATGACAGGATCTCATTCTTCTTTATGGCTGAATAGTACTCCATTGTGTACTATTTACCCATGAAAGTTAAAAATAAAAACCTTAAAAATTTAAATTTAAAAAGAAGATAAATACAAAATAGAGAATATAAATGCCTATAATCAACATAAAACTCATTCCAAGCACCCCAGGGTCACATGTAGATTGGCACCACCCATTTTAGTAATGGCGTGATGTTTCATTGTGTAAATGCACTGTAATCTACTTGCTTACCCACATTGAGAGATATGTATAGTTTCCAATCTCTTGCTGTTACTGTATATCCAAGGCTGCCATGAGTACCTTTGTACATGTATCAATTCCCATACTCAGGAACATATCTGAAAGGCAAATTTTTAGAAGAGAAATCACTGGGTTAAAGGGTTTGTGCATTTCTAATTTTAGTAAATGTTACTAAATCACTCTATAGACATTGTTCTAGTTTATAGTCCCACCAGCAGAATATGAGGGAATCTGTTTCCCATACCCTGGCTGATACAATGTTAATATTAATCTTGTTTTATCTTTGTCAGTTTGACAAGTTAAAAAAAAAAACTGTCTCCTTTTTTTCGCCATCAGTGACTTTGAGCACTTTTTCCCATATCCGAGCAGCATATGTAGGCTTCTCATTATTGTTGTTTTGATGATCCATTCATATTCTTTGCCAGTTTTTTTTTCTATTGGGTTATTGGGTTTTTTCTTACTGATTTGTATTACTCCTTTATATTTTAGGGAATTTCGTCCTTTGCCTATTATGTGAGTTTCAGATATTTTCCTCAGTCTTTCTTTGGTCTTTTGAGTTGGCTTATAAAAGGGCCTTTGCCATAAATATATATTTTTTAATGTCATTAAATTTAGCATTCCAGGAGTGGCTATTTTAGCTTTGGTGGTCAGCAAAGGCTCCTCTGAAGAGATAGCATTTGAGTGAAAACCTACATTTCATGCCACAAGCAAGAGACAAGTGCTCTAGTCGGGAGGTCCTAGGGCAAGAATGTGCTCGGTGTATTAGAGGAACCGAAAGAAGCCCTGGAGAGCACAATACACAGTGACACACGAGGAAGGAGTGGGTTGCACCAGGCCCAAGTAGGGAGCTTTGAAAGCCAGGGACAGACATGGGCTAGCTTTTGGGCCCCAGAGAGAAACCAAAATAAGTGGGAAAAGAATGATGTGAAGGCAATCTTAGGTTCTACATAACTATTAGATGAACATTCCAATAATTACCATAGTCCAGTGTGGAATGGGCTCCAGGGTTATCTGTCAGCTTATTTCCTATCCCTGAAACTTCTCAGGCAGAAGTGTACAACAGAGCTGGGTGGCACATGGTGGAGGAACTCAAACGTTAGGTGGGGGTTTGACTGGTTGACATTTATCTCCAGTCTAAGCTTACCAAGATTCTGAGATTCTCTGTGGTATATGTATATGTCCCTGCATTTGTCTTTCCTTGTGGTTTCCCTCATTTTCTCTTCTTAAATATGCTTTCTTTCCATTATCCTCCCACACGTGGTAGTATTGCCAATGGTTTATTCTTAGCTCCACGGATACCACTAAAGGCCAAGTTTATATACAGTCTACATGGAAATATGTTTCTCTTTTCAGTGACACCTGTTTCTATCTATGGCTTTCACAGCTTACACATACCTGACACTGGAACCTTCTTTGACCAGGAGTTTCTGAGGAGAGGAACCACATCTTTTCCCTCCTGTGTTGTATCTGGGTACAGAGATATGGATCCACTAGGCACTCAGTAATCAGGTGATGCTAATATGCATTCACAGGCTATTATTGCAAAATTGCTAATTGCAGAGAGTATGGTTTCCTCTTAACAGCTGAGAGCGAGGAACAGTGAGGGTAAAAGACTGCCCTGAGGAATCAGGATAGGAAACTGATTTGGAAGCCTTCCCTACAGATTAAAGCCACAATAATAGATGGAATCAGCAAAGCAGGATTCAGCAGACAGGGTGCAGGGAGACATGAAAATAAAGAAAACATCCGTGAGATCTCTAGCATAGAAACACCTTAGAAACTGGGAGATGCCCAATAGGAAAACAAGTCCTAAAATGCTTTTCTAAAATCCACCCTGGCTTTTGTGGGAGCTGGGAGTTGTCCTGCCTCAAACACATTGCAGTACAATTAGATATACAAGCATAAAGAATCCTGTGTTTTGTGATTTGCTCACTGTTTATGTTTTACAACTTTTTGCATACACAAACAAAGGAAAACATTGGCAAATGGGGAGGAGGGATAAGCAGCCCAAAATATCAACGAACAGGAGTTGATTTTCTGCTTTTCAAAAAAATCCAAACATCCATCCCACATGACAGCTAATTCATTTTGCTCCTTGCTTACCATATATTCTTCTTATCAATGGGTACATAAAGAACCACAAAATTGTTATTACAGAACAAGGTCAAACAAAAAGAAAAAAATACAGAACATAGTGAATATTCCCTATGTAAATCCTGAATTTAGACTACCAAACCCCAGGAGAGACCTGACTTATGCTAGGCCCTTGAAGAAGTTTCTACTTTTTTTTTGAGACAAGTCTTGCTCTGTTGCCAACTTGGAGTGCAGTGGTATGATCTCGGCTCGCTGCAACCCTCCGCCTCCCAGGTTCAAGCGATTCTCCTGCCTCAGCCTCCTGAGTAGCTGGAACTACAGGTGCATGCCACTACACCCAGCTAATTTTTGTATTTTTAGTAGAGATGGGGTTTCACCATATTGGCCAGGATGGTCTCCATCTCTTGACCTCATGATCTGTCTGCCTTGTCCTCCCAAAGTGCTGGGATTACAGGTGTGAGCCACCGAGCCTGGCCAGAAGTTTGTACTTTCTAAGGCTTTGAATTTCAGCCTTTTTTTCTTTCACTGTTACCCAGCATGACTCCAGTTCTGGCTCTTGGTGAGTGTGTGAGGCTTGGAGCAAGTCACTTCCCCTCTCTGGGTCTCGGGATCCTCTCCTTTTGAGGGACACAGGATTTGACAGCTTCTCCCAGACACTGTCTCCTATGGTTCTACGAAAACTTTACTTTCCACTGCCTTTTTTCCATTCATTTTATGGTCTAAGAAAAAGCTGCTGAATTTTTAAGCAATGCTAGGGTTCTGCAGAAGGAGTTAATCTGATCTGCTGGTGCTTAAAGTAATATACATACATTCTGCCCATAAAACATCCCACCAGCACCCAAACAGGGTCTTTCTGCACCTCCTCCTAGAAGTAGGAACAACTGCTGTCTCTGTGATAAGATCACACAACTCGAGGAGCATAAAAGTCATTTATGTTGTGAAGCAAAAGGCCATGGCTTGATTTTATTTACAGTCTAATCTAGCCTGTAATCCAATCATTTGGAACAACTAGATTTTGAGTTGCTCTGAATTTTTTTTAGTTGACAATTATTTTTGTTGACACTAATGGCAATAATAAACAGTAAACCATTCACAGAACCTACATTCGTATAACTTCTGTGGTGTGTGTCCATTTGATGAACCTTGATAGTTAGGAAATGTGTAATCCCATAAGAGCAGGTTTCCTCAAGACAAACTGCTCATGAAAGAAGTGAAAAGATTTCCTGTTCTAGAAGAGTTAGAAACTTGCAAATTTATTTTCCAGTTGACTCAATCTGCCATCTCCAAATCTTAGGGAGAATTACGGAGACGGAGAGAAAATCTTGGTGATTTATTCAATTTTATCACTTCTACTGATCCCATAAAAAGACTCCATCTGTCAAATTATCTTTTCTTAAAACAAAAAAAAAAACCTTTTCATAATTTTCTTCATATGGGTATGTTGAAATGAGTACTTTAAGTATCTGTGTCATGAAAACTATTGACGTTCCAATAAAATCTGTTCTTTCTAAATGATCTGTTCTTTACCCTCTTTTGAGAGGAAAACTTCAGCTTCTATCATTTGTTTATAATTTGCTCGTGTAGCATGGGATTTATTGCTTTGGGTGAATATATTATGGCATATTCGAGTAGTGTAGAATATTCTTATGTTAACATATTCTGTGATTTGGATTTCAATCCATAATCAGTACATCTTTCTTTTTAAAATTTCTGCCTTGGTTTTCTTGAAAGTCAAATGATAAGAATAAAAAGAAGAGAAACCTACTTGAATCATATCTTTGATCATATATTTTGTTTTCTTATTTATTAATTGTTGTTAAGACAGGGCCAGGCTGGAATGCAGTGGCTTGATCTCCGCTCACTACAACCTCCACCTCCCAGGCTCAAGCGATCCTCCCACCTCAGCCACCCAAGTAGCTGGGATTACAGGCACACACTAGCGTGCTTGGAGAATTTTTAAATTTTTTGTAGAGACAGGGTCTCACTATCTTGTCCAGGCTGATCTCAAAGTCCTGGACTCAAGTAATCCTCCTGCCTTGGCCTTCCAAAATGCTGGAAATTACAGGTGTAAGCCACCACACCCAGCCTGATCATACATTTTAAACCTTGTTTCTGTAATCACAGTCTGTGTCAATGTCAAGCCACCGTGCTCGCTTCGGCAGCACATATACTAAAATTGGAACGATACAGAGAAGATTAGCATGACCCCTGCGCAAGGATGACACGCAAATTCGTGAAGCATTCCATATTTTTTGAAAAAAGAAAAAAAAAGTCAAGCCACCCGATCATCTAAGCACCATTGGAAAAACACTCCCACCCCCTATGAGGTTTTCTGATTTCTACTCTTGAGCAGGCCTTCATGATACTAATCTTTGATTAGTTCTTTCATTCTCTCAATGACTATGCCAGAGCTACTATTTTCTCTTCAAGTTCCCATCTATAATTGTAAAATAGGGGACAAAATAGGGGACACCCAGTTAAATGTGAATTTCAGATAAGCAATAAATAAGTTTTAGTGTAAGTACGTCCTATGCAATATTGACCAAGTCCTGTATTTATTTTTGCTAAATCTGGCAACTCTACCTCTAACCTCTCTTCCTCTCTTAACTAACTTTACCTCGTAGTAAAATTTGAATTCATTAGCAGGAACTTCCTCATCTTCCTGCCATCTCCTCTACAAATGTACCTACCTGAGGCATATCCTCATCTGTTTCTCTCCTACTCTAGTTACTGGCCTGTTCAGGACCACTCACTCCCTGCCCATCTCCTGCATTCGATGTCCTGACACAAAAGTCCAGAGCCACAGGCTGTATTGCAGTATGAATACACCCTACAGAGCTTGGCATTGAATACGTGTATTAAGTGAAAGAGAAAGAGACTTGAAATGTATGGAGCCAAAAGCTAGTTTATGGAAAACTCTTCCGAATTTTACAACTCATATAAGAAAGAAACCTGATCACTTTCCTGGGTCTGACAACAATTGCTTTCCCAGATTTGACAACAA